CAAGAGGAAGGAGTACGATTGGGTCCCCACAAATCACAATGCAATAATTCAAAAACACGTGTTGCTTTATTGTCGCTAAGAGGAAAAATATCACGTTTTTTCTTTGCCATAGGGCATGCCACACACGGCTTATTCAAAGAGTGTCTACCTAAATTTCCACCACCAACAGGAACCAATTTGAGTACCCTATCGGAAGGATGCCCCATACGGCGATGCCACAAGTCAAAGGTGTCAGACGTCGGCCCTATCATCAGCTGAACAGTGGGAATGTGCCGAAAGTAGTAGAGTCCGTCCCTCCGCTCACCTGCCCCAATCAGGTTCCCCGAGAGTTGGTCCTGTATAGCACACAAATTATCAGTAAATTTAACAATACATTTCATATCATCGACGAGTTGTGTAACGGAGATCAAGTTACACTTCAAGTCTGGTACACACAATACATTTTTCAAAGTAAGATATTGAGACAAATAGACTGCCAACCATTTTGGCCTCAACTCGTTGCCCATTGGGCAAACCAATCTGCCAGTTTTCAACACTTGTAAAACTGGAAAAAAAATCAACGTTACCGGTAATGTGATGTGTGGCCCCGCTATCAAGAATCCAAGAGGAAAAACACGCCTTACCAGTCATACGATCAACAGTTTTATCATCTGAAGTATGAATCAAATTGAGAAGCGCTTGCACTTGTTCCGGTTTAAACCGTCCCATGGGAATGTCTGTTCCCACTCCAACGTCATCCATCACCGCATTAGCATGAGCAAGTCTCTTCCCAGCCTGTCCATCTCTGCCAGATTGCTGCCCTTTGCCACCGCGGTTGCGTTCCGCCCACCATTCCGGGTAGCCATGTAATTTGAAGCAGTTTCCCACCTCGTGGCCTTTCTGCTTGCAATGGGTGCACACCAGCTTGCTTTTGTCCAGACGAGCACCCCTGGAGCTGGGATTTTCTGCCCGTAAGGCAAAGGCCTGGGACTCCTCTTGCACGGCCTTGCCGCGAGCAATATCCCGCAGCTTCTCTTCTTGGAGCATCGCTTGATACGCCCTATCAAGCGTCACTGGGTTTGTTTGGGAAAGTAAATTCGAACGAGTGACAGAGAAATATTCGTCATATAATCCGATCAAAAATTGATGAATTTTTTCTTCTTCCCTATCGGCGGCGAACTTTTCTGCCACATCGCACGTACAGGTACCGCAGCTGCAAGCATGAAGCGGTTTAAGACGATTCAGTTCGTCAAATAGGGACATGAGTTGATTAAAGTAATCATCGACGCTCATTCCTTTGGTCTGCCGGCACCCAACTATGTCGGCACGCAACTGTTGAAGCCTAGGTCCGTTTGCAACACAGTACCTCTTCTCCAAGTAATCCCACAGTGGTTTGGCCTCCACTTGATACGGGATCGTTGCTGCAATCTTTCCGTCGATGCTCCGAAGGATCCACGACACGATCATAGAGTTGACCGTCTCCCAATTGAGCATCTTCCGTTGTTCCGTCGGCTTCTTGATTGTTCCATCCACGAACAAAAACTTCCTTCATGCCTTGAGAGAAAGAGTAATTGCCCTAGCCCAGGACACATAGTTATCTCCAGTCAATATCACATGAGTTATGATGTTTCCGGGTTGATCTCCGGCACCCAGGTAGTATGGAGAGCCAACGTCTATCTTCTCGTCGCCGTTCATGATGACGGAGCAACTGCAACGCTGGTGCGTCTACCGTCTTCGCTCGGCAAATTTCAGAGATCAAATATGGTGAGTTAGGTCGATGATGCGAGCGGTATTACGAGCGGCTGGCTCTGATACCATGACAAACTAATTAGGGTTGAATCCCATGCATATTATTACGTGTGAGGAGCAATTTATACAAGATTTACATGGGCCTAAAGCTAATTACAAAATGGGCTGAATATGCAAGGAAATAAAATATAGAAGCTATACAAATATATTATTCCCAATAAACATGATCTAAAAGGCCACACACTAGCTTTAAAATTCGTCATCACCATTCATAGATCCATAACAAGGCGAATTTTTTATTTTCACATTAGAAGCATTCTCGTTTGAACCGGAGTGTTCTTTTTTTTTGGGGGGGGGGGGGGGGGGGGGGAGGGGGGGATGACCAAAGTGTGTATTATAATTTATCTAGTTTTGATAAATGATGGCCACTTTCTTTTCAGCACAAAAACTGAAAACGGTGGCAAAATTACTGAATTTATGTTCTAATCTATTTGAAGTACGTGCTGAAAATCCTTTTCCATTCCTATATTATAAATCAATAAATCATGTTACTGATATATTAACTGATTGTAATGCACAAACTGTTGCCGTCAAAAACTCAAAACATGACCTTTGAAAGAACCTGTAATTAGATAATTTTTTACAACTTATAATGAAAGTTTTTTTAGAATCAAACTTTTGTAGATTTGAATTTACCTTCTAGGCTCCTACTCTTCCTTTTTTTAGTTTCTCGCTTGTTACTCATACTCGGGTACTACTTTCTTAATCATTTACTTTATGTAAATAATTTTTATTGAATTTGATTATATTTGTTATTTTATAAAACTTTTAATAGTTTCTAAACATTTAAATTTTATTTACTAAAACATATATTATTATTGTCGAGGATCCGTTAACTCGTGAACAGTCTAAACTTCTTGAAAAGTTTTAAGTGGAATGGAACAAGTAGATATTATGGAGATAAAAGAAAAATATGATAACTATATATTTATAATGTACTACCTTCGTCTCATTAGAATTGGAAGGTTCCCGTCCACTATTCACATGGTAAACTTAAATCATTTTTAATCTTTTACTTTATAAATCAAAATTTTATCAAATTTACATTTTTTTATCAGGCTTTGTAGCGGTTTTATCGTCAGTCAAGCATCGTAAACCGTCAACGGGAACCTTCTAGCGGGACTAAGGTTGTTTTTACTTGGACTTTAATTCGTCCCAGACCAGACCAAAACAGACCATACAAGACCAGACCAAACTAAAACAGACCAGACCAGACCATATTTTATTATTATTATTATTATTATTATTATTATAGAAATGACATTTTATTAGGATAAGAAAAGAGAAGGATTACAAGGAACAAGTGGGGAGCCGAGCAACAAGTTGAGCTCCAAACAGGACCGGACCGTACCGAACCGAACCGGATATCATTCCTGTTCCATCCGGTTCCGATTTTTCCGGTTCGATCCGGTTTTCCGGTTTAAAACGGATAGTGCACGCCCTTATTATATATTAGTATTATTATTATTATTATTATTATTATTATTATTTTTATAATTACTACTATTATTACTATTATTATTATAATTATTATTATTATTATTGTTGTTGTTATTATTATTATTATTCCGGTTCGATATGGTATGTTCTGTTTTGGTCTGGTGTGGTCTGGTCTGATCTGATCTGCTTCGGCCTGGGATTGAAATCAGACCAAGTAAAACGATAACAATTTTCGATAATTTGGAAGGAATATTATTATTTTTAATTATAAATGAATAAAATATAATTATTTATGGATTATAAAATATATAAAAAATAAAATCTTTATGCAAAAAATATAAAATATAAAATTTCAGACCAGACCAGACCAGATCAAAACAGACCAGATCAGACCAGACCAACAAATTACAGCCCAAGTAAAAACATCCTAACGGATAATATTTCTATTTTAAATGAGAGTGACAAGATTTTTTAGAGCTTTGTACACATGGGGGGTGTATTTCATTGTGTTTTTTAGATTGGTGATGATATTTTTACTTGGACAATTTCATTAATATGATTAGATCGCCCACACCGGGCAAATAATGGGGCACGCAGCATGTCATGTGCCTACGGTTAGGGTTGGGATCGGTTCAATCCGGGTCAGGTTTTTGTTAAACCCGAAAATTACCCGTAAGGTATCTGATTATGAAAATTAGGGACCGAAACAAGGTCCACTATATTCGGTCCGAGTCGGTTTTTTGGAGTCCAGTGTGGTCTGGGTTCGGGTTGGGCCGGTTAAAGCCCGAATGTGAAATCACTCATTTTTCTTTTATATTCTAAAATCTATTTTCAAATAAAATTAATAAAAAGTACAAACCGCAAATAAAATTTATAAAAAACACAACTATTAGTCTCCAAAATCACCAAGAATTCAAATCCAAAGAAGGTAATTATCATAATATTTTGTTAAAGATGCATAACAATTAATAATATAGGTGTTCTAAAAATGTTATCAAATAAAATTTATGGATAAAAATATGACTAAAGTTACTATAAATATGTTTTCATGGTCATTACGGTAAATAAATTGAACATATTTGTAGCCACTAAAAGTTATTAAGTCATTTTTTCATCCACCATGATTATAATCATATATAAGGAATTAATTTATATATTATATTGGTATAATATACGTAGTATTGATTTTATACTAAAGCTATTTGTTTCGGGTTTTTATCGATCCAGGCCGGGTTAGAGATTTTAGGGCCCGTTAATGAGCCCGAAATTTCGGGTTCGGTCCAGTTTTTTGTTTTTTATTCGGACTGGTTAAAAAGAAAAAACCTGGACCGATATCATAATTCGGATCGGTTTCAGGATTTCGGTTCTGTTTTTCCCACCCCTACCGTAGTACATGGTCTAAGAGAATACGGAGTAAGAGATAACGTTCGGGATGCACTACCCGGAATTTTTTTTTTTGAAGGAACAATTTTCTTTATTTATAAAACCCAATCTATACAAATAAATTCAAAAATACGGAGTAATAAAAGACTTAATATGCGGATATCTCAGGAATTATGCTCTTCAGAATTCAAAAAGTAAAAAAGTTAAAGACCAATTGCGTTTATTTATCTGAAAAAAAAGTATGGGTTGTAATATTTTTATAGAGTATTTTATTTGTAAGAAATACCGGACCCGCTTTATTACTCATCCACCCGGTAATTTCCAGGAACAATCCTCCCAACATTCTGCCATCTATATATTAATACCAACTCCATCTTCATCATCATCATCAAGAAATTAAAAACCCAATCTTTAAAAGAATGACAGGCGGCGGCAGAGGAAACGAGTTCCAAGATATGCTGCCGCTGATGGCGGACAAGCTCGGCGGAGAGGGGCTGATAAGGGAGCTGTGCAACGGATTCCGGCTGCTGATGGACGGCGAGAAAGGGGTGATAACCTTCGACAGCCTGAAGAGGAACGCCGCGGTTTTGGGGCTTCAAGAATTGAGGGACGATGAGCTTCAGAGCATGGTGAGGGAAGGGGATATGGACGGCGACGGCGCGCTGGATGAGATGGAATTCTGCGTTCTGATGTTCAGATTGAGCCCGGAGTTGATGCAGGAATCCGAAGCTCTGCTTCACACAGCTCTGGAACAGGAAGAAGGTGAAGGGGTTGCTTCTTCTTGGTTTGGTTGCAATTGACTTATAATGTGAAATCGATGAGATTGATTGATTGAATGACTGTAATGTATTATACTCCCCTTTTCTTTTCTGCTGAAACGACAAAACGAAGGAGATGGAAGAAGAAGTTGGGGTATTATGTTCTCTTTCAAGAATGAATGAAAGCCGACATTTTTTCTCCACAATTTTTAGCTATGATTTACTCCGTATCATCCTATAGCGTTCATATATTAAGCTATACGGAGTAACAGATTACAGAGTACGAGTATATTTTATCCATGTATATTTTAACCTCACATAATAATCATATCAAATCCAACTAAATCGAACTCAAATGAGACATACGCAATTTGGTTTGAGTTTAGGTACTATTATCTTTGTATTATATCAAATGAATCAAAACGGATAAAAACTGAACAAAATCGAACCGAACTAAAGAAATTCAATAAAATCTTCATAAATTATTCAAACATAATAAATTCAAACCGAACCAAACCGAATTAAATCGAACCGAACCAAACAGCAAAATAGCATTATTTTTGTTCGATGATAATTTTTCGAACCCGTTCCAAATCGAAACGAAGATTGATACGTCCACCCCTACTCTCTACATTGCAAAAACTCTTTCTAGCCTCGACGCATTAATAGAAAAGTAGAAATGAAGAGCTCGTTTGATGGTCATATTTTTCGATTTATCAGGTTTATCGACCAAATTTTTTACTAAACAGTAAACAAGCATATTTGGATTTTACGCACTTAATAAATGACGGTGTATATTAATAAATGATACTAGTGTTTTACCCAAACATTGCCTCGGGCGAATGTTGTGAATGTTTGAATAATTTGTAAGATAAGTATTTGCCCTAAATAGGACTAAAATAATAGGAAAGTTCCTAAATAGGACTACTCCCTAATTTATCCCTAAATATGACTATTTTAATGACTTAGCGTTGCCTATTCCTAGAATACCCCTACGCGTAATTAAAACACAAACTCCCTTCCCGTAGCTGCTCTTCGACTTCCGTTCCATAACCTTGTTTGTTATTTTTTAACGATCCTCAACTGCCATTCGTTCTTCTCATCGGCTCGTTTCCTTTCATTGTCGCACATCAATTGAAGACCGTCCATTCAATTCAAAGCTCTGTGGTAAGTTTAAATCAAATTTCGACAAATTCTCAATAGTCTTCTTCAATCCTTGATCAATTTATGTTTGCATGAAATTTTGATTTGTTTTCCAGATTTTCGTTGCTTTTATTTACGTATTTCAGTATAGAAATTCCTAATTCAATTCATGTTTTACTTCATCAATAATTTTATCTGTGCTTGTACATGATCAATCCTTCGTTGTTTATACTTTTGCTTTATTGTGGAATTGTGTTTTCTGAAATCTGTTCCTGGTAATTAGTTATTTTTGAATACAAATTCATAGTTAATTTCCAGTTTTTACTTAACCACTTATCAGGTATTAGCTTCTACTTTCTATTTATATTTTCATTGTTTTCTGTATCCATGTATTTACTCTCTACACTTTCTCTGGTTTTGTCATTTGTATTTTTTTGTTTGTGGACTCTAATTAAACACACAATTCGTTTTTTCATTATTCACATTGTTGCTTAGTGTTTCTGTTTTTAGTTGCACTTTCACTATTATGTTACATGCATGTTGGTTGTCACTATTGTCATCATGTTTACTGTTAATGCCACCTTGTGTTTTTATGTTGTCAAATGCTTATGACTTGTTTGTTGTTACATTCTCGCTTATATGTTACTTTTTCATTTTATAGATAATCATATCTTCAGATGGATACAATTTTGCTGCTTATGCAAAAAAAACATTAGTGCTTTCATTGAGAGCCTCTATTGTCTCTCACATCGCTTGAGTAGGAATTGATCAGGAAATTTCAGAAAAAATGAGAGAATACACAAAAAATATAGAATTTACAAAATATGCTCCCGGGACGATAGCGTCGGCCGGACTATGCGTCGCAACTGAAGAAGATGTCGCTGCTCCAGAAGACCTAGATCTGGATTCTTCCTGAGCCGGATCTGTCATCGTCGATCGTCCCAGCCGCCTCCACCGTATGCTGAAGCGCCTACCGCTGACTCAGTCCTTGCCACCGACGTTGGGAGACGCTACTTGCACCTTGGTCTGCGACCTCACCAATTCTTCTCTGCGTCTGGAGTCACGGAGCGACTGGAATATGGATCCCCATCGGATGGCAGTCACCGAGGCAAGGACTCAGATATTCAGATGCCATAGCAGCCCGCTAATCCAACTCCCCCGCGGTGCCGCCAGGCCCGCCAATCTCCGGCTTCAACTCCCCAGACTGACCTCTCTCACGGTCGCTGTCGCAGGATCAGGGTTGGGATGTATCAAAGATTCAAAATCATGGAATGGTGGTCCAGCACGATCCACTTCTAATAGTCCCACTTCAAAAAGAAAGCTAAGTATACTAAATTACTGTTTAAAATATATGTCGAAATATATGATTAAAAATATATTAAATTGAACATTTGAAAAGATATTTTAAGTGGTTTAATTGCTTTTACTCTTGTTAAGCGTGTCTAATTTTAACATTGAAAAACGGACTTATGAAATCTGATCACTCAAATACGCCGGATGAGCACACACACTCGTACATTGGCCGAGCACACACTCGCGCCACCGGGTCACGTCATATGGGTGTGGCATATAATAAGATCTAATATAAATGTTAATACCGCACACTCTTAACTTCATACGAGTTCTTGTGTGCTCTTACCCCTTCATAGTGCATCACACTCCGACCTCGGGGGACGAGTCACCCATTCAAAAGTTTTTACTTGCGGGTTCGAACTACTAACCTCGGGCGGTGAGTTAAACTCTCTTGTTAGGGGCATAGAGCCACGTTTTTCCGAGAAATTTTGTCACTTAATTGACATTCACATTTCTCGAAAAGGTTGATATACTTTAGTTCTCTGGGGTTAGATTATCCATTCGAGTGAGGAGTCTGACTCACTTACTCGCGAATTCAATCTTTCTTTCACAGACTGGGTTGAGGCCTAACTTGGGAACTTGATGTCACTCTTTTCATGTAGTGAGTCTAACGCACTTACACACTGAGCCGTGGTTTGACACCAGGCCAGATGCTCTATTCTGCACTAGTTTCTTTTATGTGTAGGTACAACTGAATGAAGTGGGGGACTGAGGGTCTTACCATCTTCAAGGGAGCAAATGACAAACCTGACGAGTCTGAGTCCGACGAGAAGAACAGTTCTAGCCATCCTATTCGCAGATGGCGACCATTGCAATAAAGGCTAAGGATCTCACCTCTGGCTTCATCTTGGGGGCGTCAGATGTACTCGTTTTCCCTTCATCAGGATTTTTTCCCATTGAGTTTTTTCCTAATGAACGTTTTTAATGAGGCATCTCCCCAACATGGATAGGGGCGAGCATCTTCTAGTCTCGAAGAAGAGCAACTGACTTGGACTACTCCCTCTTAGCCGAGTCTACTACTCGACTAAGGGAGTGGGAGACTCGTGATGGAGTAATGGGACTAGGCCCAGAGCTTAATCAACCCAAGCCCCGAACTTGGACCCATGGATCCAAGTCCACAACCTGGAGCCTGCCAGCCAGCCCAGCGGGGAGCCTCCCAGTCCGACCGACCTCCTAGCCCGGAAGAGTAACGATGAAGCAATTAATGCACTATTAATTATGTATTTAATTCCGTATTAATGTTGTAATTAATTAGTCATTATTATCAGTAGCGGTTACGATTTGTGGCAGCCAAGCGTTCATAGCGACGTTGCTTTTTGATCCTTCGATGTCGGCTCTTCCTATCATTGTGAAGCAGAATTCACCAAGTGTTGGATTGTTCACCCACCAATAGGGAACGTGAGCTGGGTTTAGACCGTCGTGAGACAGGTTAGTTTTACCTTACTGATGATAGTATCGCGATAGTAATTCAACCCAGTACGAGAGGAACCGTTGATTCGCACAATTGGTCATCGCGCTTGGTTGAAAAGCCAGTGGCGCGAAGCTACCGTGCGTTGGATTATGACTGAACGCCTCTAAGTCAGAATCCGGGCTAGACCGATGCATGCGCTTGCTGTCCGTTTGCCGACCCGCAGTAGGGGCCCAAAGCCCCCAAGGGCACGTGTCGATGGCCAAGCCACCATGGCGGAAGAGTCGTGGTGGCCGCCTTGAAATACAATTCTGATCGGGCGGTGAGTAGAATCCTTTGCAGACGACTTAAATACGCGACGGGGTATTGTAAGCGGTAGAGTGGCCTTGCTGCCATGATCCTCTGAGATTCAGCCCTTTGTCGCTTCGATTCGTCCCCCCCATCCCTTTCCACGACAAACTATTTCTCCCGCAGCAAAGGCATCAGGAGGCTGAAGACGTATATGTGAGGGTATGTACTTATTTAGCAAGAAAAATAAAGGAAAATAAAAAAGAACAGTAAACATATACCTTTCTGGGCCAAAATGTCGCTACTCCGAGAATCTGGGCGTATGTTTAGTTATCTACTATAGGGGGGCAGTGGTCCTCAAGCCACGTGCCGCGGCAAAGCGGTCAGGTTTCGGTACGGTTGGTGGGCCGTGCCGCGTAACGGGGCGTAAAAGCGTATGCGATAGGGTTTCGGTGCGGTGGGCCGTGCCACGTGGACGGGTCGGTAAAAGCGGGTCGCCGGTCGGGTTTCGGTGCGGTGGGTGGGCCGTGCCATGAAAGCAGTTGCGGTCGGGTTTCGGTACGGTTGGTGGGCCGTGCCGCGTGGACGGGTCGGTAAAAGCGGTCGCCGGTCGGGGTTCGGTACGGTGGGTGGGCCGTGCCACGTCGACGGGTCGGTAAAAGCGGGTTTCTTGATTTATATAAATATATATATATATATATATATATATATATATATATATATATATATCAAGAAAAGGAAAAGGAAAAGGATAAAGGATAAAGGATTAAGGATTAAGGATTAAGGATTAAGGATTAAGGATAAAGGATAAAGGATTAAGGATAAAGGATTAAGGATAAAGGATTAAGGATCATGCGGATCATGCGGATCATGCGGATCATGCGGATCATGCGGATCATGCGGGTCATGCGGGTCATGCGGGTCATGCGGGTCATGCGGGTCATGCGGGTCATACGGGTCATACGGGTCATACGGGTCATACGGGTCATGCGGGTCATACGGGTCATACGGGTCATGCGGGTCATACGGGTCATTCGGATTAAGGAAAAGGAGATTACAAGAAGAGGAAAATGAAAAGGATAAATAATTAATCAAGGATAATAAGGACCAAGGATTTAAGCTCAATCCTCGATTAAATATTAAATATTAAATAATTAATTTTCTAAGCGTGGACGGGTCGTAAAAGCGTATGCG